ATAAATTTTATTTTTAATATAATATAATATAATATAAAATATAATATAATATAATATAATATAATATAATATAATATAATATAATATAATATAATATAATATAATATAATATAATATAATATAATATAATATAATATAATATAATATAATATAATATAATATAATATAATATAATATAATATAATATAATATAATATAATATAATATAATATAATATAATATAATATAATATAATATAATATAATATAATATAATATAATATAATATAATATAATATAATATAATATAATATAATATAATATAATATAATATAATATAATATAATATAATATAATATAATATAATATAATATAATATAATATAATATAATATAATATAATATAATATAATATAATATAATATAATATAATATAATATAATATAATATAATATAATATAATATAATATAATATAATATAATATAATATAATATAATATAATATAATATAATATAATATAATATAATATAATATAATATAATATAATATAATATAATATAATATAATATAATATAATATAATATAATATAATATAATATAATATAATATAATATAATATAATATAATATAATATAATATAATATAATATAATATAATATAATATAATATAATATAATATAATATAATATAATATAATATAATATAATATAATATAATATAATATAATATAATATAATATAATATAATATAATATAATATAATATAATATAATATGATATAATATAATATAATATAATATAATATAATATGATATAATATAATATAATATATTAATAATTTATAATATATAATTTATTATAATTTATTATATAATATATAATATAATTTATAATATAATATAATATAATATAATATAATATAATATAATATAATATAATATAATATAATATAATATAATATAATATNCAAAAAATCCGTAGGTTTACCTATATAAAATATTGATAATTCCGGGAAGAAAGGGTTGACAAAAAATTTGGTACGATCATCTTAAAGCTCTCCTTAAACCTGTTATTTTAGCTCAAAAAGTTTCCATTCGAACTACTAGCAACAGAATAAATTATGCTGATCACGTTGCGTGAACCACCTTGCGTTTCTAGACTACTCTGTGGGTGTGAAAACAGTCACTCGTCTCCCTATAGGCATTTAATAACGTTGCACATTTAAATGACCAACTCGCGACAGTTGTCTCTTCAAACGAGGAACCTGAACATTCTAGGTATCTCGATAATATTATTTCTCTGCAGTCGCTGTGTTTTCTTTCCAAATGGAAACTGAAGATGATCACTTTGCATTGCAGTCCGCTTATCATTTCTCTACGTCTCGATAGCCAAAGTTTCATTTCGCAGGTTCGATACACATGGCGACGAAATTCCAGCGACTTTGTGGCTATACGGGAGACTTAAATTATCAGTTGACATTGCACATTGTAAACCGACATTGAGAATCAACAGCTTGAATTTAAACGACATGGGAATATATTCTATCCAGGCTAGCAATCAGTATAAAAAGGAAACTTTGAACTTTACGTTGGAGATAATAGGTACGCTATTTTCATTGTTCATAAACGATATCATATAAAATTATATATATATATATATATATATATATATATATAATTATATATATTATTATTATTATTATCTTATATATATATATTATTATAATAATATTATATATATATATATTATTATATATATAATATATATCACATAAAAATATTGTTCGGAGTGACTGTATCGATGTAATGGCTGTTCGGTCTGATCCACGATGAGTCTTTTAGCCAAGCCAAAAGTGCACATGAGCGAACCGAGCAGGTACCACTTCCATAATCAGGTGGCGAAGGTAGAATGCCATGTGGAAGCGTTTCCAAAGCCGAATGTTACCTGGAGTTACAGCAAGTGTCCAAATGACCTTCCTTGCGACGATGCCACTCCTAAGTACTTAACGGTACGTAATGTTTTCACTCCGAACCAACTGCGAATGAATCGCAACAAGATGGCAAAGATAGATGGCAAGATGTTAAACAATAGATGTATAAAATTAGTAATAAAAATTAATAAAATAATTTATTTGTATAACACTTTCCGACTGAATGTTATAAAGCGATTCGAACACTTATGTTGCACGAAAATTCGATGCTCCTTAATATCTTTTTAATTATATAGATAATGTTTGACACTAAATCGAAAGTTTGTTGTACCCTTTACTTTAATATCTCGTAAAATACTTTTTCCCCTCGTTATATATTTATTGAAATATATGGCGTAAAGTCGAAGTTACACTAGTCTTCGAATATTTTCGTTACACACTGCGTGCGTACGATTATATCTGTATCATTGCAACGTGAACCTAAGAGAAGATTCACGCATTTCCCATAAATGAGTCTTTATAATTTCAACAATTTTTTAACTGAAAAATGTGACATCCGCCATTTTCTCCGACACGATGGTTTAACTTTGATCAAAGCCCTTTGTAAACTCGTAATATCGATTGTGACCGATTGATTAAATCAAGTGACATTCTCATACAGAACGCCAAAGAAAACGGAACCGTGACTCAGCTGGTCTCCACGGTATGGACGGTCATCGAAAAGTTTAGCAAGCTTACTTGCAGTGCGTGCAACATTGTTGGCTGTGGAACTGTCACCAAACGGCTGTCTGCTTCCGGTGAGACAGGGATCAGGTTCACTGTTTACGATCAGCAAACGGGAATGCTTTTGCATTCATAACTAGACTGCGGATTTAATTCAACAATGTTAAAAAAAAGTATTAAGAGACGAAATAAGTTTTTGTTCGATTATTTAACTGTGTCGTTATTCGACACGTTGTATGCTCACGCAATGCTTACTTAATGGACGTCTTCTTACGACCACGTTTTCATTAAATGCTACATATAATGTGATTCAAAATATTTTAGAAGAAGTCGGGGATTTCGGTATCATTCTCACGAAGGAGCCAGTGGCAGAGGGTGACGACTGGGAGCTGATCTGCGCTGCTTCGATTCATAATTATTCGGACACCTTCGACTGGAGCAGAGAAACTGGTCCAATTGTACAATCTGGTAATTCTATTTTCAATATTCACGTGTTAGAATCGCGTTAGAAAATTTACTTTTCTACGATTCATTTTAAAAACCAATCAAGTTCAATGAGATATTGATCGAGCCGAAAATAATATGCCTAAAACTGCAGACAGAATTTCTATCCATCGAGAAAGGACGGTATTCACGTATAGATCAATTTTGAAGATACGCAATGTGAAAATAGAGGACTCGCAGGAATATATTTGTACAGGGAAGTCCATGGGTAATTTGACTCAGTCTACTGGATATCGTTTGGAAGTGAACGGTAATTGGAAATGCAAATTCCTAAAAAGATTAAATAGTGTATTGTTGAATAATTTTAGTTTCGTTTTAGCTGCGCGAGCGCCTATTATTACCGATACCAATTTAAAGAAAGGCGAGAAAATCATCGATCTTAACACACCAGATCACAAGGGAATAAATGTTCACTGTTTCGTGGATGGTATGCCTAAACCGAGTATTATTTGGTTTAAGGTAAGTGATTAGATGTTGATATTATATTTCTACATCAGGTTTATATCTTATTTACCACTTTACTATTTTGTTATTTTATTATTTTACCACTTTACTATTTTTTGTTATTTTATTATTTTACCATTTTACTATATTGTTATTTTAGTATTTCACTATTTCAATATTTCACTATTTCTGTATTCCACTATTTCACTATATCAATATTTCACTATTTCTGTATTCCACTATTTCACTATTTCAATATTTCACTATTTCACTATTTCACTGTTTCACTACTTCACTACTTCACTACTTCACTACTTCACTACTTCACTACTTTATAATTTCACTACTCCACTATTCCACTCTTTTCTCTATTCTATTTTCTTAATTTTTGCATTTCTCTATTTCACTATTTCACTACTTTACAATTTCACTACTCCACTATTCCACTCTTTTCTCTATTCTATTTTCTTAATTTTCGCATTTCTCTATTTCACTATTTCACTACTTTACAATTTCACTACTCCACTATTCCACTCTTTTCTCTATTCTATTTTCTTAATTTTCGCATTTCTCTATTTCACTATTTCACTACTTCACTATTTAACTATTTCAATATTTTACTATTGTACTACTTCACCACTTCATTGTTTCACTATTTTACTATTTCACTATGTCACTATTTTATCATTTTACTAAAAAAAAAAAAAATTCGGACATTTATTTTGTTGCAAGCTTTTGAAAATCGACTTACTTTTGATAGGATGGTACACAGTTGTTAATTAACAACGACAAGCACAAGATTTCCAATAACTCCCAAAAAGTTGAAATGGCATATCCATTGGAAGTCGACAGCGGCGTGTACATGTGTCGAGCGGAGAATCGGTTTGGAAAAGTAGAAGCTTCTCAACGAATAAGGGTAAAAGGTAATTTGTTAAATCGAGCAGTGTAGACACGCAGGAGTAAGAAATTCCACTTACGTTTGTTTCAATTAACAGGATTCGGTATTCAAGCTAGCAGACTTGTAACTGTGATCATTTTACCTGTCATGTTAGCGGTGTTAGTTTTGATCCTGGTGATTTTCGTCGGCCTCAAGTATCGCCGTTATAGGGTAACTTCAGTTTCTGGTGTTAAGTCGTGCCATTTGATTGCCCAACAATTTCATCAGCTTCTATGATGTTGCAGACGAAAAATAGGAAATTAATGCGAGATGCTTTTCGGCACTTCGAGAAGGGAGCTGTCGAGTGTTTGAATCCGGAGTTGACACTAGACGATCAGGCAGATCTCCTACCTTATGATAAGAAATGGGAATTTCCCATCGAGAATTTGAAATTAGGTAAGCGTCGATTAAAACTCTTCACACGACATTTTCCATTGATTAAAAGTTCCTTCTGTAGTTAAATATACCGAAATTCGTCCTCGAACGTATAATATTCAAAATAAAATCAAATCAGTCCGATGAAGTTGGACTGTTGCATCTGCTTTGTTTACATATTGTTTGATCACGTTCAAATAGTATAAATGTTATAAAAAAATATACCGTCGTACCGCGCAAGATCTGCGTAACTTTCGCAAGTAGGAATTAGCCATTGTAAAGCGATATTCGTCGAAGTTTCAAAGCGGACGCTTCAAAAATGGCCAACGAGAGCCACAGCGAGAACGGAGACAGTTCTCAGTATATGCTCTCTCGATGACAAACGCGTAACGCGTAAAGACCAAACATATTTAAAAAATTGGCAACTGGTGTTGATCCTGATTCATCTAACCCATTAATTCTCTACACTATGTATTGGGTTGGCAACTAAGTAATTGTGCCGATTTCAGTTATAGATGTCTCTCACTCCCATTTTTATGATATCCGTGAATGTTATATTATAAAATTATTATTATTATTATGTTATTTTTTATTATCCGTGAACGTTAGCAACTGGACAAATTGAATGCAGCGGTCAAGGAAAAGCGACCAGAATTGGTCGATCGTAAAGGTGTCATTTTCCAGCAGGACAATGCTAGGCCGCACACGTCTTTGTCCACTCGGCAAAAATTGATGGATATTGGTTGGGAATCGATGTTACACCCACCATATAGCCCTGATCTCGCGCCATCCGATCACCACTTATTTCGATCCCTGGACAACTCCCTTCGTGGTAAAACTTTTAACGATGACGACGCTGTAAAATCTCACTTAACTCAGTTTTCGGCCGAAAAGGATCAGACTTTCTACGAGCGTGGAATTTTCAAGTTGTCAGAGAGATGGCAAAAGGTCATCGAACAAAATGGAAAATACATTACAGATAAAACTTCGTTCCAAGTAAAACAAAATTGTTTATTTCATTGAACAAATCAGCAATTACTTAGTTGCCAACCCAACAGCTTTCGCAGTCGGCTCAGAAATCATTTCGGATTTGTGTTCGAGGTTTTTGGTTCATATAAGAACCATCTGTTGTCTGTTAACCCTAGAAAGATAACCATATGACAACGTACGTAAAAGATAACCATACGCTTCAGAGGCGCATGCTTTTCTAAGGCGTCAATTTTATACTAACAATGGATATTTATTTAAGTTAAGCTAGTCATTTTAAAGGTTTGGCATTATTGTACAAATAAAATGCATTTATATTATATTTTTTTATATTTTAAGTAATTTTAAACTTAAATCACTAGACCTCTATGAAAAATTAACAAAAACCAACAGTCTTCGCAGGCGCCTCTGCGACGTAGGTTATCTTTCTCGGGTTAAAAAGCTAATTGAAATGTTAGTTGAACGGAGTAAGTTTGGCTAATAATTTTCTGTAATAACTGTGCGGTAACGACTTACAGGGAAAAAATTGGGAAGCGGTGCGTTCGGCGTAGTCTTGAAAGCGGAAGCTCTAGGCATTTGCGAAAGCGGGGAGAAAACTACTGTTGCTGTGAAAATGGACCGTCGTGGTCCCGATAACCTGTATATGTCTGAACTTGGCAATGAAATCAAGATCATGATACATGTTGGCAAACACCTGAACGTTGTCAACCTTCTTGGTGTTTGCACGAAAGACAAGTTGGAACGTACGTTTTCTTCCTGTTAATTCATTTAGGGTCACGCTCTACTAAGTCCAAAAGTACCATTTGTAATATAAATTAGCACCGGATTTCGAAACGTACACATATTATCATGCGAAAATTATTAATTAAAGACACGTATTTTTTATTCTCTAGTTCCTACAACCATTTTATTTCGCTTTCGCAAAATTTGTTGCATAACGCTGGTTGTACAGCACCAAATTTCTTGCGAGTTCACTGAATTTTCTTTACAATAATCAAAATCATTTGTAATATTGTTAGCCTGTAGACTTATCGTTTAAAGAGTAAATTTCAATTTTATATAAATGATTTTTGTTGCTTCTTTAGATCGATTGTTAGCGATCGTAGAATTCTGCCAATTTGGAAATCTGCGCGATTACTTATTCAAGCATAGAAGCGATTTTATCAATCAGATCGACCCAACGACTGGCAAATTTGATCTCAACATCGGTCAAGATCGGTTGATCTTAACGAGACCAGCCAGGCTCTGCAGCACTAACAGGTTCGTTGCTATAATAATTCCTTCGTGCTACCTTTTACTTGTTAACAACACTACGACTACGAATCTATAATATCTCACGTAGTTGTAAACGAACATAATTTGGTGTTCAGCGAATAACACTTTCGTTGTTGAATTATAAAATGTTAGTCCAAAATGGTTGTGTAAGAACCCATATATGCGTTCATAATCCAGATTGAATGGTTTTATGATAAGCCAGATATGTGTTCAAAGTCCAAATTAAATGGTTATGTGAATATCCATATATGCGTCAACAACCCATTGTTAACGATTCTGCCGAACGCATATATGTGTTCATACTGCTTAAAGGAATAAGTAAATTAATAGGGACGTAACAGTATCGTTTCATGCATCGAAATGCAACTATTTGCTTCCGGTGATTAACACGATGAAACTACTGGTGCATGCAAGGGGTTGCGGTGCTCGCGCTTTTCTGTTCTTCTCTGTCTGCGCGATAGGGTAAAATCTGCGGAATTGTCATCTTGTTTCAGTAACCGCAGTTCTGAATCTGATTCGGTGCAGTGTCACGCGCGTGATTCCGTTCTTGATAGTGCTTCATCTCAACCTGGTTGGTCCAACTATCGGGGAGACTACAAGGACTCTAATGTAAAACCAATTTGCACGCAGGATCTGTTGTCCTGGGCGTTCCAAGTAGCTCGTGGAATGGAATATCTCAGCCAGAGAAGGGTGAGTTTCTGCGAGTTCTCGTCTCAAATAATTCTATCAGAACTGTACTATACAGAAAATTTCTATTTCAAAGCGAACTATATAATTAAATGAAAATGAAAATATCAATCATTTTTGGTAGTATTCACTTTGTTTTGTGC